ATAACCTGTCTGCTAAGCCCATGTTATTTTAGAATGGAACTGCAGATAATTCCCATCTCGAAAGCGCCGGTAGAGATGGGGTATGCTTTTTCGTCAATCGCACTAACCCACATTTCTTTTCGTGTTTTGTTGCAACTTACCCTAATTTCACGCGTATAGTACGCGGGGGATTTTCTTCTAAAATCGAACGGAGACACGCCGGAAGAGTTCGCGAACAAAAAACTATTCACAGTGCTGCATATTGCCTAATTGTATCGTGCGGCCTAAGTCTCGTTTTCCAAAACACAACGAGGCGACTGAGCGGCAGGCTTGAAAAACCGAAAAAGGTGCGTCTTATACGCTGAAATTAGTGTAATTCTTTTTATTAAATTGTGATTTCTACATTGCGCGTAAGGCGGCGTTCATACTGATCCCGAAGTTTGGGAACAGTCCCAGCACAGCGCTCAACTCGAGCACTGTGATGGAACTGTTCCCAGACTTCGGGATCAGTATGAACGCAGCCTAACGCTAAAAAAAAAAACTCGAAATCAAGATCCTTGAAACGGTGTGAGCTCATTTTCCTTGCAAGGACGAGAATCACATACTAGATTTTGAGATCGTATATATTCGATCTTATAAATAAAAATGTTATTCAAGGTAGCGGGGCTTTCAAAAAAGGCTAAACTGAAAGACCAGTTGGAAAAGATCGAGAAAGAATTAACGCCGGAGGAAGTTTTCTCTTATATGCTTTCAAACCTCATCCTAAACTTCAAAGTAAAAAATTTGAAAATAGCTGAACTGATCATTCAAAAAGGACTACTCAAAATTTTTTGGACTACTCGAGCTACCATAGGTGCGCAAAAAAGACCACAAACTGCGTCGAAGAATGTCAAACTCTCACCCCTTTCCACACCAGATTTGTGGAAAGTTGAAGTGAAGATGGAGCTTATAACTTTTGACTAAACCTTATGCTATCTTCTTTTCAGAAAAAATAAATCTGGAAAGACTTGATAGCTCCAGTCGACAGGGTAAGATATTCTATTACTACCAGATTGAGCACTGAATTGGGGGCATGCTTAACTTAGTTTTATTAGAAGTATTGTATTGTTTTTTCAGCTTTTTGAAAAGAACATTGTTGTTGCTATTCTTGATGTTTTCGCTGGTGCTTCAACACACGATATATCTGATTCCTAAAGATTACACAATACAAGACTTCGAAGCGTGTACACTGAATATACTCGAGAAGGATGAGTTTATAGGAATCTCTAGTGATATTAGAGCCGGAAACAGGGTCGGGCAAAAGAATGGCAAATGGACCCCTCCGAAGCGCATACGCCCTTTCCACTTTTATTTTACGATTTCCCGCTTAACCGCATTACGTGCATAGGCTGTTTGATTGAAGCGATTTTCCTTCTTCCAAAGTTGCGACTCGTGTGCCATTGCGGACTCAGCAGGGAGGAAAGAAGTGAAACTAAAATGTATAAAGTGAACTGTAGATGTGGAACAGATTTATGTAGAAAATGCGGACAACACGGGTGAAGTGGTAATTTTGCCCAACTCTGGTGGGCATTAAGGGGCAATCCCACCTAATTTGGAAAAGATTGGCCACGCCTTCACATAAAATTTTCGAATTTCTACTCTCTTTCCCAGACCATGCGATATACACACCAAATTTGGTGCCATATCGTCAACTGTCCGTTGCAAACGATTCATTCTCCATTCTTTGTAGCGGAAGATTTTTAAAAAACCTCTTCATTCAATCACATGATTTCTTCACTACTTTCCCACTCTGTTCTTCTGCCTCGTGCGTCTACATAAAAAAAATTTGGTAGCGCAATCCTTTGCGCGCGCCGTAATCGAACCATCACATTCACCAATTTGTGCAAAAAAAGTTAGCTTGCAAAAGGGCAGCTTGGACTCCATGTTTGAATAAGTCAGTCGTGTAAAGTCTGGTCTTCACTAGGGCTGAAATCTAATGTTAAGTGGTATGGAATGCATACGAATGCATACGATTACGATAACCTTTTTGCTTTTTCTTGAGTAACGATTTCTAGCCTGACATGTGACACCCTCGGGCCCCGTGTGGAACACTAGACTTCACTTTGCGAGCATCAAATCTGTAGAAAATCCTTACTGCTGGTTTCTCTGATGCCTGTAAAAAAGTAAAACGCTCTTATAGTTCTTCGACAAAGAGTCTATGACAAGTCGCTGCAAATCTATCTCCATCAAGTTCATATTCCAAGAAATAGCCGAAAATTCGTGCATACTCTGCTCACCAAGCACGAAGAATTTTAGCAAGCATCTAAAGACAATCCTCATTACGAAGGAACCGGTAGAAACGAGGATTGAAACTGATGCACTTTTCACTTTGAACTCAATAACATGTTTTGCTTGAACTCCCAAAGTGTTAAAGACACCAATACATGAGAAATTTTCGGAAATATGCTGCATCTGGATACAATCCGTCTTCAAAAAAATAGCCAAAAATCAAAGTATATACTTTGTTTGCTAAGAACACATAATTTCAGAATGAAACCGAAGTCGTCCCTAATTTGGATGGAACTAATATAAATAAGGTAGGTCTCGTGTTGAACTAAATTATACCCCCCTTTTCAAATTTGAACTTCGCTCAAATTCATAAGTAATTGAAGAAACTTTTGCGGAAGATACGTCCGTCAATATGTTGATTGCTTTCAAAACTTTCGGAACCATAACAAAAAATCAAAGAGCAATCAGAGGTATTTTGTTTGCTAAGCACACATAGGCCCGTAGTAAAGCTCGGTCAGTTGAGGTGAACTCAACTTATCCCATCAGTTCACCTTAGGTGAGGTGAACTGATCACCGTCCACGTTCCCATGCTATAAGATGGTCAAGTCAACTAATAGTTGACCATCTGTCCACCTGCCGCAGTCAACTCTTCCACATCAGTTCACGTTCAAGTCACCTCAACGTGAACGGATGTTAGAGTGATCCAAATAGTGTGTAGAAGAGGAGACGCAGACAAGAGGTGACTGCATCTAACATAAGTTGCTCCTGAGTAACTTACGATACACACAACTTTGCCAAAAATGCAGAAAAAATCGGCGCAAAACTGCACAATACCGGCGCCCGAAAAGGGAAGGATCGATGAACAGCTGATTTTGGCGACAAAAGCAAGGATAAAAGTTTTCTTCTTTTTTTTGCAGAGCAATCTTAGTTTCTTGTAAAAACTACTTTAGAAGAGAATCTACTTATTTATTACGTTTTACTTATGTTCCAAAAATTTCAGTTTTTCATGAATTCTCCGTCAAAATATGTCAGTTTTGTTTTATCTGTACATTTGCTAAGTGATATCTTTGTTAGCGGTCATCATCGATTTTTTTCGACAGTGGCCGCTACCAAAGATTGTCCGGCGATGCAGCAAAAGTTGTGGCGCTAGCCGGTGTCGAACCACGACCGCGCGCGTGTGATTCCAATCGCTTATCCGTTTGACCAGACCAGCTCAAGTGGTTGGTTTTTTGAGAACACATGTGGTTATCATGTCTAGGAAGCGATCCACATCCAAATCAATAGCTCACTGGATGCTGGACTGAAGCGCGATGACCTCAACTCCGGTCCGCGTCGAGAGAGATGCCCGGATGGGGGGTTTACTACGGGCCATAATTTTACAATAGGACTAGAGGCACTCCACATCCACATATTGAAAACAACAGCAAACGAGATTTCTGGGAAATAAGTTGCGTCTCGACCCAAACCATCCTTAGATTATACTGAAAAATGAGATTAGGTTCTCTATTTGCTAAGCACATATAATCTTAAAATACAGCTGAAGGCACTTCTCTTCTCTACAAAACCTTTGAAAATTGGGTAAAGTTATGCACATTTTATTTCATTCATTCGCAATCTTTGCGACTCCCTAATTATTAGAAACACCGTCCCCAAAACAAAGTCCACCACTATCCGAACAATTTTTCGAAACCATAGCCAAAAATAAACGCAGGGATCTGTTCTGGTAAACACATATAATTTCAAAATGGAAGCGAAAGCACTTCCCATCCTAAAGGACATGTTGAAAATGTGATAAGTCACGTGTGAATGGAGCTATATGCTCGTTTTGATTCAAAACTTTGCTCAAAATCCTGAATAATTTAAGATATTCCAGTAGAAGAGAAGTCTAAAAATAATACTTGCTTTTAAATCTTTCTGAGAAATTGCTAAATGTTAGAGTAAGTATCTGTCTGCCAAACACACACAATTTCAGACTACCGAAGGCACTTCTCATCCCAAAGGAACATCTGAAAATGGGGTAAGAAAACGATGCACATTTAATTTATACATTCCTTCTCTAAAAGAATTAGCCTGAATCTAAAGTACTCCTTCTGTTGAGCGTACATATCTTTAGAATGGGACGAATGACGCTTCTCATCCCGAAGGATCCGATAAAAATGGGGTAAGAAATCGATGCACATTTCATTTCGCAGTCAAATGTACTTTTTGCTTGAACTTCCAAATTATCGGCTTCTTGTAAATGACAAGTGTTTCAAAGTAAATTGAAGTTTTGAACCAACTCGCCAGAATGGTAGCCAAAAACTCGAGTAGATATCTTTCTGCTATGTATATTTACTTTTGAGAGGGAACTGACAATATCAAAATCGAAAAAACAAGTAGAGATGAGGTATGTTTTTCTTTTATGTACTAATACACATTTCTCTCCGTGTTCATTGGTAGAAATTTTTGATATTTCTACATTTTCTCGTTGCGCTCAATACATAACACAATACATGATATATAACCAAGATCTTTAAGGCGTGTGCTCATTACTTTGTAAAAACAACGATCAGCTACCACAGTTTCACACTCTGCAAATCTAGTATTGGTGGTGACGCACTTATATAATGTGTAAAATAATGGGGATTTACGGAGAAATGCTCTGCTGAAAGTTGGAGAAGATTAAGAAAATATTAACACAAAAAGGTTATTTCTTTGTTTAAAATCTTCTCATGAATATTAGAGCTGATTGAGCTTACATAGACCGCGTCGAAATGATCAGGAAATCATTCGTTGCTGCTAACCCGATCTCCTGTCGAGTATTTCAAGGAGGAAAAGTTCTTATGATTTTCACTCAACTTAGTACCTAAATCCTATTTATTCAGGAAAATAAGCCTGGAAAACCCTCTGATGACACCAGTGGAGGTCAGGTAAGACCCATTACTGAACTATATGAACTGATGGAGATATAATCAACTCCGTTTTTTTTGAAAATAAAAATAAGAAGCTTTCGTGGCCTTTTGAAAGGAAGCATTTCAGTTGCGCCTTCCATTTATGTCTTAGATGTCGCGCAAATTCGCTCAACTGCTTATTGCCAAGTTGATACAATACAAAATGTACCAAATATGAACACTAAATCTTATATATCAAAACAGGGCTCGGCGCAGCTGCTTCGGGTTTAGCTAGTTTCGTAAGAAATTAGCCAAGTGGATACCGTTTTTGCGTGACTGATAAAGCCGCCAGCGGCTTGCCTCAAATTCGGTTCGAATCTCAATGTTTCCTAGAAGAAACGGTGGAGTAATTGGTAAAATAACGAAATTTTTGCTCATTCACCGATCATTCTGGATTGAACGACAGCTCAAATACAAAGAAAAAAGAACTAGAGAGTGAGGGTTGAAAAGTCAAAAAGGATTTCGCACATTTTGTTAAGTTCGGTTCAAAAACTCTTTGATACCTGCCGAGCCCTGTTTCAAGAGGATGAAATTGTAGAAAACTTCGGTAAAACACTCGCGGAAAAGTGAGACCTCATTTTCAAAGAATATGGCAGATTCTAGACATTTTTGATTACACTTCGCTTATTGTAACAGATACGCTTCTGCAGTCCTTGAGGAGAACCTGTTTGAGGCAATTTTTTCATAGTTTGAGATTATTGCCGCACATATACTAGAAGTTCTTTACATTATATCACTCACAAAACATTCTACATTTCAGGAAGGTGAGATTGAAGGAACCTCCAGTGAGACCTCTGGCGAAGAAGTAAGATTTTATTTCATACAACACAAATTTGTGGGCATTCAACTACACGATTCTCCAATGGTTGTAAGGGCGCTCGCATAGTTTTTGACAGAAACTTCTTATGCTCAATTTTTTGTATCTGAAAGTACTGTCGTCTTCATACTGGGGGCTTCCCAAACATCAGAACAGAGCGGGTCCGAGCGCACTACATGCTGTTTCTGCCCAAGAAACTGCCCGTAAACGCGCAAGCCATTCTTACACGCGCTCGGACGAGCTTGCGGTTCCCCTGCCATCGGTTCCCCTGTCAGAGGCGGTATGCCGCAATGTTATAAACATGAGGGCCCTGCAATGATTCTACGTCTCTAACCATGGCGGGGAGTGATCCACTCATCCAAATCCAAAATGAGAACCCTTGGAAAACGGTGGTTCCGAAAATAAAGAAGAATCCCATGAGGGTTCCAGTTAGAACAGATACGGGATGCATTTAAGATAGCATTTTCGTTTCTCCATTTCTCTGCCAGACATAAAAACCTCCAGTAGAAAACCAATCTATGAAAAGCATTTATTCCACATCATAGTGTTTTAGAGTGATGAAAGTGAAGAAAAATCCCATGAGGGCTCCAGTAAAGAAAAGGTAGGTGTCACATAAGCATAAGAACAGACACGATAGATAAGTTAAGCCCATTAATTTCAGAATGGAACATCAGAGAATCCTCCTACCAGAAAGACCGATGGAAAGGGGGTATGCTTTTTTGTTAAACGTACTAACACACGTTCCTCTTCGAATCTAGTTCCAAAAGCTCTTGATTCTTTGTATCTACCATTGATTTCTACACTGCGCTGCGCTCAGATGTACATCAAGGTTTCTGAGGCACTGTGAGCTCATCCCCTTTGCAAGAACAAGTACAAAAAAATAGAAACTAAGATTAATATATGGTAACTAGTGTCTAACTGTACAAATCTAGTAATATTGTTTTTAAGATAAAGGAAACTATTGGAGAAGAGGCTCAAAAACTAAAAGAAAAGCTGGAGAAGATCAAGGACGGAATATTCACGAAAAAGGTTTGCTTTATTCGTATGCATCATAAACATCCTAATCACTTTCAAAGAAAATATGGAAAATTAGCTAAATCTGAACGATTAAAAAACTAGCTAGAAATTTTTGGAACTCGAACTAGATGTACAGAAGCGCAATGATGATGAAATTCTCGTATACTCCTTTTCACCAGACTTGCGTTGACTTGAATTGAAGATGGAGTGTTTCTTATAAGTTTTGAGTTAAAGTTATGTGGTGATTCTATCTTTCAAAAGAGATGAAGCTGGAAAACCATACCGTTTTAGGATGGCAAGAGCAAAGATCAGACCCCTGATGGTAGCGGTGGCGAGGTAGGTATTTCGCAAACAAAATCAAAGCACATATGAAACATACCCAGAAGCGCAACGCGTACACGAGAATTTTTTGAGTTCAATGCAGAATAGAAGTGCTCGGCACAAAGGCCTCTAGTAGAAAAAAATATATAAAAAGCACTTCTTCCAAATCATATTGTTTCAGAGTGATGAAAATGAAGAAGAATCCCATGAGGGCTCCAGGAAAGAAAAGGTAGGTGTTACGTTAGCAAAATTGGAACAGATAGGAGATACATTCAAAAGAGCATTGTGCACACGAATTTCTCAAATGTAGTTCGAAAAAGACAAGGTTGCTTCATTTCTTTTTCTGCTCGACATCAAATTAATAAACAGCTTACATTTCGGGTTGAACTTGAAGAAAAAATTATTGTTTTAGGGTAAGGAGACTGAAGACCAAACACCTGGTGGCACCAGTAAAGGCAAGGTAGGTGTTATGCAAGCAAAAGAACAGATTTGAGTTATATTTAGCTTATTTATAAGAATTCATCAAATGTAGTTCAAAAAATCACAGTTGTTGCTTTATTTTATTTCTGTTCGACATCAAGTATTTAGAAGACATCTTATACAGGGTGTCCCAAAAAAATGTGAACACTGTTTGATCGTTAATAACTCCCTTGCTTTCATGTCTTTCGCCGAGCCTGAAGCACCATTGTGTAGATCGAGGTTCAACTTAGATTTAAAGTATAAATCGAATCACCGTTCGCTCTTCGTTACTGTAGGATTACAGTAAGAATTTTCAGCATGTGGAACCGTTGTGAAATATGACATCTGACAAAATTTTTTTTCAAAAAATCTGAAAAATCGTGTACTAGGGTTTTCGCGCACGCTGATTTTACTAAACAACTTTCTACGAATGTTTTCAGCTTTTTTGATGGTGTAATCACATTTTTGACACATGCTGGGAGGTTGGTTATTAAAGTTTATCTGGGATAACTTTGAAAAGAAGCATCATAGTAAAGTGGAAATTTTATATTCGAAATCAGCGGCTTCCATTACCATAGCACAAGAGATTTTGACTTGTTTGGCTCTGTTTCGAAACAGAAAATGGCCTTTAATGGCCTAGAATCCTTGTCAAATTTCCTACCGTAATCCTACAGTGAGGCAGAGAAACGGTGACTCGCTCCATACTATAAATCTAAGTTGAACCTCGCCCTGCAGAATGGTGCCTTAAGTGCGGTGAAAGACGTGGAAGCAAGGGAGTTATTAACGATCAAACAGTGTTCACATTTTTTTGGGACACTCTGTACTTTGGGTCATTTTTAAGAAAAAAATTATTGTTTTAGGATAAGAAGACTAAAGATCAAACACCTGATGGCACCAGTAAAGAAAAGGTAGGTGTTACGCAAGCAAAAGTAGAACATGTACGTACGAATATATTCAAAAGCGCATTGTGTACAGAAATTCCTCAAATGTGGTTCAAAAGAAGACGTTGTTTCATTTCTCTTCTGCTCGGCACAAAGACCTCCAATAGAAAAAAAAATTTATATACTAAGCACTTCTTCCAAATCATATTGTTTTAGAGTGACGAAAGTGAAGAACAATCCCATGAGGGCTCCAGTGAAGAAAAGGTAGGTGCTACGAAAGCAAACTTAGAACAGATACGAGATACATCCAAGAGAGCATTTTCGTTTATTCATTTCCCTGCTAGACATAAAAACTTCAAGTATAAAACCAATTTCATATGAAAAGCATTCCTTCCACATCATAGTGTTTTAGGGTGGTGAAAGTGAAGAAGAATCCCATAAGGGCTCTAGTGAAGAAAAGGTAGGTGTTACATAAGCAAAGTTAGAACAGACACGAGATACATTTAAGGGAGCATTTTCGTTTCTTCATTTCTCTGCTAGACATAAAAACCTCCAGTAGAAAACCAATTTCATATGAAAAGCATTTCTTCCACATCATAGTGTTTTAGGGTGGTGAAAGTGAAGAAGAATCCCATGAGGGCCCTAGCGAAGAAAAGGTAGGTGTTACATAAGCAAACTTAGAAGAGATACGAGATACATTCAAAAGAGCATTGTGCACACGAATTCGTCAAATGTGGTTCGAAAAAAGTTGTTTCATTTCTCTTCTGCTCGACACAAAAGCCTCTAGTAGAAAAATGTGCCACTTTTATAAAAAGCAGATATTTTGCATAAAAAGCATTTCATGCAAATCATATTGTTTTAGAGTGATGAAAGTGAAGAAGAATCCCAGGAGGGCTCCACTAAAGAAAAGGTAGGTGTCACGTAAGCATAAGAACAGATACGATAGATAGGCCCGTCAGTTTCAGAATGAAACATCAAAGAATCCTCCTCCCAGAAAGACCGATGGAAAGGGGGTATGCTTTTTTGTTAAACGTACTAACACGCGTTTTTCTTCGTATCTAGTCGCAAAAGCTCTTGATTCTTTGTGTCTATCAGTGATTTTTACACTGCGCTGCGCTCAGATGTACATCAAGGTTTCTGAGGCACTGTGAGCTCATCCCCGTTGCAAGAACAAGTACATAAAAATAGTAGCTAAGATTAGTATATAGTAACTAATGTCTAACTGTGCAAATCTAATATTATTGCTTGACGCAAACAATTGTGCGATTTTTAAGATGAAGGAAACTATTGGAGAAGAGGCTAAAAAATTAAAAGAGAAGCTGGATAAGATCAAGGAAGGAATATTTGCGAAAAAGGTTTGCTTTATTCGTATGAATCATGAACATCCTAATCACTTTCAGAGACAATATGAAATTTAGCTAAATCTGAACGATTCAAAAGGACTAGCTCAAAATTTTTGGAACTCGAACGTAGATTAAAGAAGCGCAATAACGATAAAATTCTCATATATTCCTTTTCACCAGACTTGCGTTAACTTGAATTGAAGATGGAGTGTTTCTACTAACTTTTGACTTAAAATAATAGGGTGATATCTATCTTTTGAAAGAAATAAGTTGTAAAAACCATACTGTTTTAGGATGGCAAGAGCAAAGATCAGACCCCTGATGATAGCGGTGGCGAGGTAGGTATTTCGCAAACAAAATCAAAGCACATATGAAACATACCCAGAAGCGCAACGCGTACACGAAATTTTTTTGAGTTCAATGCAGAAGAGAAGCGCTCGGCACAAAGGCCTCTAGTAGAAAAACAATTTATATAAGAAGCACTTCTTCCAAATCATATTGTTTCAGAGTGATGAAAATAAAGAAGAATCCCATGAGGGCTCCAGGAAAGAAAAGGTAGGTGTTACGTTAGCTAAATTAGAACAGATACGTGATACAATCAAAAGAGCATTGTGGTCATGAATTCCTCAAATGTGGTTAAAAAAAACTAGGTTGCTCCATTTATTTTTCTGCTCGATATCAAATTAATAAACAGCTTACATTTCGGGTTGAACTTAAAGAAAAAATTATTGTTTTAGGGTAAGGAGACTGAAGACCAAACACCTGGTGGCACCAGTAAAGGCAAGGTAGGTGTTATGCAAGCAAAAGAACAGATTTGAGTTATATTTAGCTTATTTACAAGAATTCATCAAATGTAGTTCAAAAAATCACAGTTGTTGCTTTATTTTATTCCTGTTCGACATCAAGTATTCAGAAGACAGCTTATACTTTGGGTCATTTTTAAGAAAAAAATATTGTTTTAGGATAACAAGACTAAAGATGAAACACCTGCTGCCACCAGTAAAGAAAAGGTAGGTGTTATGAAGCAAAAGAACAGATATGAGACATATTTAGCTTATTTACAAGAATTCATCAAATGTAGTTTAAAAAACACAGCCGTTGCTTTATTTATTTCTGCTCGACATCAAATCAATAGACACCTTACGTTTCGGGTTAGTTTTACAGAAAAATTATTGTTTTAGGATAAGAAGACTAAAGATGAAACACCTGCTGGCATTAGTAAAGAAAAGATAGGTGTTATGAAGCAAAAGAACAGATATGAGACATATTTAGCTTATTTACAAGAATTCATCAAATGTAGTTCAAAAGAGCACAGCTGTTGCTCTATTTTTTTCTGTTCGACATCAAGTATTTAGAAGACACCTCATACTTTGAGCCATTTTTGAGAAAAGAATTATTGTTTTAGGATAACAAGACTAAAGATCAAACACCTGATGGCACCAGTAAAGAAAAGGTAGGTGTTACGCAAGCAACAGTAGAACATATGCTTACAGATATATTCAAAAGCGCATTGTGGACAGGAATTCCTCGAATGTAGTTTTAAAGAAGATGTTGTTTCATCTCTCTTCTGCTCGGCAAAAAACCTCTAGTAGAAAAACGTGCCACTTTCACAGAAAACAAAAATTTTATTCAAAAAGCATTTCCTCAACATTTTATTGTTCTAGGGTAACGAGACGAAAAAACAAACCCCTGGTGGCACCAGTAAAGGCAAGGTAGGTGGTACGCAAACGAAATTAGAACAGATGTGAAATATACAGGGTGTCCCAAGAGTATGTATACACTGTTTTTTATTAATATCTCCCTTCTCTAAAAGTCTTTCGCTTGCCTTCAGGTACCATTTTGTAAAGCAGGCTTCGATTTAGGTTTTATGGAGCGAATCAACCATCTTTAATCACTATCGTAGGATTACGGTAAGAACTTCAAGGAGGGTTTTGAGCTATTGAGGGTGTGGTGCTATTCCGCCTTAGAAATTTAGCCAAACGATATGTACTAGGCTGTTGCATAAGTTCTGTCCGATTTTTTTGCCTCATGTTTGAAGCAGCTGTTCTAAGAGAATTTCATCTCTAATTCGATACGGTTGGTATCATTGAAAAGTGCTTTCCTTGCGCTTTCTAAAGCATACCAGAATTCAATAAAATTCTTAGTGTACGGAGATCACAGGCCTAAAATCTCTAAGTGGCCGAGGTACGTTCTATCCCTAGAAATATGTCCTTGCGAGGATATCTCCACAATGCGCCCTTCAAGTCAGGTTCTTTCATTGGCTTCGGAATAAGGGTATGGAATGCTAGTATATGCAGAAGTTCGGTCCCATGAAGAATACGTCTTGCTAGTGAAATTTATCCTCGAACATAAATCTTTGGTATAGATGTTTTACAAGCAATAACTTTCTGCGAATAGAAGTAATCGACAAGCTCAAAGTTGGAGGTGCTAGGGCAAAGCAAGAGCTAACAGGGCCCATCCACCAATTCCTTTTCGGCGCTCACGTCAGTTGTAAAACGTTCGTAGTTCATAAATAGGCATGCACACATGTGCTGAAGCGAGGTCAAAAAGTGGCTAATTTTTTGTTCGGTCAAGAAAATCTCTCGGCAGCGCAAACCCTATGGGCTCTTTTATGTTGCATAATAATCCACGAAAATTTCTCTATCCATCCATTATTAGAAAAGATGCCTATCAATTTTCATAAGGGAGCGTTACCATGTCAAAAAAGACAGATTCGAAGAAAAACGCTGCGAAGTTTTTGCATTCTTGGTTCTTCCTTAACAAAGATTTGCGCAGATCTCAATATGCATTTTTTAGCCAAGGGACTGCTCAACACATAGAAACTAAGACCTTGGAAAAAAGTTGACTCTGAAAGAAGTTATGACATTTTAAACTCAAAAATTCAAATCGGACAGAACTTATGCAACAGCCTAGTACACTCTATACTAGGCTAACTAAAGTCGCTTAAACCAAATATGAACTACCGCGTAAACCGTAATAGCTGTTTTAACTATGCTCCCTAAAATTGCAGTCACACCCTTTGAGAAACTTCGCAAACTCTTAGAAAGATGAGTAATGAAACAGCGCACGTAAAATTCTTGGTACACCACTTTTCATTTTTTTTGAAACCCGGCTAATCCATAATGATGCTGTAAGACAAAAGTTCCTACCATAATCATACAGCACCAAAGAGCGACCGGTGGTTCACTTTATACTGTACTAAGTTAAAACCAGCTCTACAAAATGGTACCTTAAGGTAGGTAAAAGACTCCCAGTATTTCGCAAACAAAATCAAAGCAGATATGAATTATGCTCAGAAGCGCAATGCGTACATGAAAATTCTTTGAGTTCAAGCTGTTGCTCCATTTCTCTTGTGCTCGACACAAAGACCTCTACTAGAAAAAAATTTTACATAAAAAGCATTTCTTCCAAATCATGGTGTTTTAGAGTGACGAAAGTGGAGAAGAATCTCATGAGGGCTCCAATGAAGAAAAGGTAGGTGTTACGTAAGCAAAGTTAGAACAGACACGAGATACATTCAAGAGAGCATTTTTGTTTCTTCATTTCTCTGCTAGACATAAAAACCTCCAGAAGAAAACGAATTTTATATGAAAAACATTTTTTCCACATCTTAGTGTTTTAGAGTGATGAAACGGAAGAAAAATCCCATGAGGGCTCCAGTAAAGAAAAGATAGGTGTCACGTAGGCAAAATTAGAACAGATACATTCAAAAGCGCACTGTGTACAAGAAATACCCAAATGTGGTTAAATAACTTAAATGTGGTTACAGTCACTCAAAGATGGTTGAAAAGAAAATTAGCTGTTGCTTCATTTCGTTCTCTGCTTATCAAGTCCCTAATAGACACTCAAACTTCATGCCAGTTTTACAGAAAAAAATTATTGTTTTAGGGTAACGAGACCGAGAATTCTTAAACTATGGAGATGGGTTCAACTCCTTTTTTTGAAAAAGGAATAAAATGCTCTTGGCTTTTTGAAGAGAAACATTTTGGTTGCACCTTTTATTTATGCCGTTAGATATCAGCGCAAATTTGCTCAACTGTTTATTGAGCAAACATGAACACTGAATCCTATATTGCAGAACAGGGCTCGGCGCAGCTGCTTCGGGTTTAGCTGGTTTCGTTTTAAAGCATGTATGTGTGGTGATTCGAACCTTAGACAAAAATCTATGAGAACTAATGTGAATTAGACGCTCAACTTTTCTTGAAATAAGATGGAATCGTTTCAGCGAGCTTACAGCTGGACTGGACCCGATCTCTTGCTCACATAATTTTTTAGACTTTATTACATGAGTGTATTCTTGTTAGGCATACAAGCAAAACGGTTCTACATATTCTTATTAGACATGCAAGCAAAACGGTTCTACAATCTTTCTCTTAGATTCTTGTTGCGCTCAGAAATTTGCCATTGGCAGCCCTGCTTTAATCGCGAAGCGCACCTTTAGGAAAGCGCGAGCGTCTCATTTGTAACTTACGTATTCATTATGCTTGCCTCACTCTTTCAATCTATCTTTCAAATTCAAATTCGGTTACAGAAACTCAATGTTTCTTAGAAGAATTGGTAAAACAATAAGTGCTTTACTCAATGAGTTCTGCTCAGAGCTCAGTGATAAGTAGTTTGGTTATGTTGTTGCAAGAAAAAACTTGAAATGCTTGAAGTTCCACCTTTAAAATACTTTTTTTGATATTTATAACTTTCATTTTATTTTCTCATCTCAATTCCAAGCAAACAAATCTCTCTCACTCTCCTGTTCAATTGAAAGTGTAACAGAAAAAAATACTCTAGATTTCTGCGTTTAATGGACAAAAATGACGGTAAAAGATGCGCGAGTTATTGACACCCGCCAGCTATCGTTCCTCTTGCTCACCACCCAAAATAAGGAAATCTTTGCTTATTTACCAATTATCCCCAGTTGAGCGACAGCCCAAATACAAAAGAAAAAGAATTAGGGAGTGGTGAGGGATAAAAAACGTCAAAAAGGACTTCGTACATTCTGTCAAATCATAAAAAGATTTTGGCTCAAAACTGGTACCAGCTCGTGCCGAGCACGGTTTCAAATGATAGAGAGGAAGAAACCTACGGTTAAGTTAAACAGTCGTGGAAAAGTGAGCCCTCATTTCTGCAAGAACGTGGCAGAATTTGGACATATTCATAATTCCCTTACTGTAACAGATACGCTTCCCATCCTTGAGGAAAACCTACTCAAGGAAAATTTTTCTTTTCGAAATATTTCGTATTGCCGCACTCTAATAGCAAAACTTTACATCACATCGCTCATAAAATATTCTACATTCCACGAAGATGAGATTGAAGGAACCTCCAGTGAGACTACTGGCGAAGAAATAAGATTTTATTTCATACAACACAAATATGTTGTAAGAGCGCACTTAACAGTTAAACATAAACTTCTTATGTGCTCAGTTTTTTGCATTTTGAAAATACTGTCGTACTAGAAGACTTTCGCATCGCGCCAGTTGTTCGAAAAAAGATGTTGTACAAAAAAGTACGCTAATTTTTGACGGAAGTATCTTATAGTTGGTTGCATCATTTGCTTTTGTATCAGAGAATGTAGCTGTTATGATAGTTCACCCCGTTTTGCAGAAGGAGATCTTATGTAATGTGCA